AAGATAAAATCTTGTCAGCTTTCTTCAGAAATTATCTGAAACTGCTCAATGTCATTTTATTCAAAATCACATCGCACTCGATATCTTTATTTTGAGTCTATCTATGATATGTAGTTTCTGATGAAGGGTGGACTGGAAATATCGAGTAAATTCGATTTGCATATTTAAATAGCTCATTTAAATATGTTGTCAAATTTAGACATAATGATGCTTAAAAGTCCCCGTATGAGACATAGACATGCCCACCATCTTCCCTAAGATGTATTTCTCATATAGGTTTCATGCAGTCGTAGGTGTTGAGTCGTTTGCATACACGGCGCTGTTCGAATTTCAGAATTTCATATACAAATAAAAAAAACAAACAAAAACGGACATTATCTTTTAAAAATCGTAAGATAAATAATTGAATATTAGAAAAACATTTATTGATAAGTAGATAACATTAAAACGGAATGTATTTTCGTGGAGTCACCGACAACTGTGTCTGTTGTGTCAAAATAGACCAGCTTGCATCTGCAAAGACAAAAGCATGACGTCATTATGTGTTTATTACTTTAGTTCATTTGTGACGTCACATTTTAGTTGCTAAGCTACTTAGCAATCGGCAATGGCGGAGATGATGAGTCTCTCCCCAAATATTAATATTCTATGTTGAATATTTGGCCTACCACAATGGATATCAAGTTATTACTGCTATTTGTGGTAATGCTGAGCACGATCCACCAAGGTCCTGCTGCTTATCGGGACCTCACGTGGTAAGTTTGGATGATTATTCTGGTGGTGATATGGCAATGAGTATATCGCTATGCTCAGATTTCGGTGAAGGTTGTGATTGTCGATGGTTCATTTTTTGCGGTTTACCAAAGTTACCACCAAGTTCATTGGAGTCATGAACAAACAAGATCGTTTTTCTCTTTATTTATTTATATATTTTCTTAATACTGATTTTTCGTGATTCCACTCCATCCTTGCGGAAAGTAAAACGAAAAAAAATTCAAATTGAAGATTCTCTACAGTAACATCAAACAGAGTTTTGAAGTAAACAATATGTTGTCCTTAAATCTTATTAGGTATTTCATCATCACGTTGTAACTTTATTTGTGTAGCGTGGAGTCCGAACCTGGACCTGTGAAAAGATTTTACCATTACATCGCCGCCAACGAAATCAAGAAAGTATGCCCAACGCCAGCCGATTTGATCTTAGTAAGGATTTTATACCCTAACTATTTGCTGTCAACACGATTCATGTCTTGATTATGATCTTAATGTTGTAAAACTATTTTTCATTGGTCCAAATATCCTAGGCCTTACCATAAGTTTGAAAAAATTGCTGTTAGGAAACATCGTCTTCCCTATTAATTTGTTTCAGTTATTGTCTTCAATACTTGAAATAGAACTAACAACAAACAAAACTCAAAACCCAAAATTTAAACAAGACAAAACAAAAAAGTCCCTCTAAAATAACACCCTTTATAGTGTTTGTATGTTTCGTTCATATGTACAAAGGAATTTGATACTTATAATATATTATTGTCAAGTCCCTGTGTTGCTATTTATGCGTTTCGTTTCATCCCCATTCCACAATTCACAAATCAGAAGTTTTGCTATCTAAGTGGGTAGAAAAACCTGTCTATTCCAGCCCAAACGTCTAGTACTTGCACCAATCTACGGAAGAATAATAAAATAAGCGTGTTTAATCTGTTCCAGAGAACCAGACACGAGGTGCTCTATACCCTTATGTGTGTACTCCTGACTCTGTTTTTGGGATATGCGCCGTCGCTTAAAAACCGAGCCAAAAAGGCATTGATGAGCACATTTTCAAAATTCAGAAAATGGAGAAAACGTAAGTTACATGGAATAATTCAAATTTCAGTTACTTCAGTTCAAATGTTCCGAAGGACCAATACGATTGCACCATAGCGCGGTGTCCATCGTTTCATCTTTACCTTCAGTTAGGGCGTCCTTGGAGAAGGGACACCTATTGACCATTGATGGTTGGTCTACCTCCTGGAGTCAGAGAAGCAGGGAAATAGCGAAGTCGCTTTGAAATCATTCTGTTCGGACGAAGGTGTTAGTACAAATTTAGTAAGAGGCATCCTTCGGTGAAAAGTGTTCATTTTTGTATAAATGATTGATCTGACCCCTTGGGCTGAGGGATCGAGTCGCTTAGGCGAAAAAACGCGATAGTTTTTCTCTTTTTTGTTTGTTTTTGTTTTTTTATGTGTGTTTTTGTGCAAGCCGAAATATTCAAGTGACGTTTGAAAATATGTTCTATCTCCGTACGCATATATCTGATTGTTCCTTTCCAATTGGATATCTGACTAATCAGATAAATCGTGGAATCCTACTATTTTGAAGGTGTATTTGAATATAACTTGTTTGTTTAGGTCCTTCACGCTGTCGTCACTGCGGAACTGTCCCATGTCAGACCAAACGGAGATCATTGTGGAAGCCCTCTGAATCCCGGAATAGGGACAAAGCCAATTTCGCCGAACGAGCAAAAGCAATGGAATTGTTCAGCTATGGACTTGAGTTATCCGTGGTGTTGACCAAAGAGCTTCCCCGGGATGACCTCTGTCACCAGTTTGAAGAGAAGCAGCTGGTGCTGTTTCCTCTTTGTATCCAGCGTCAACTATTGGTACCCATTGCCCCGCTAGGTAGGTTTTTTTAAAGTAATGATTGTAAGGTCTAATAATATTAATGTAATCATTTATTGTTGTGTTGGTCATTTAAAACTTTAGCTGTGCCTTTTGTAGTGACCAAATTTATTAGTTGTAGTTGTTTTGGTAATCAGTTGTAGATATAACTGGCAGCTAACCATTAGCGGTGCATATTGATATATCGCTTCAGGGATCTATTGATTAAGTCATACTGGTCAGTTTGAAAAAAGTTGCAGATCTTGACCACTCACAATATCTCCTGTGATGGTGGAATATGTTGTGTAATAAAAAAGATTGGAAATGTGTTTTATCATAATAGATTTATTGCTCTCACTTTCAAGACTTTTCTGTTACAATCTTTTCAATAAAGGAGATAGGAGGACGATTAAGGAAGATAAAGGAGATAGGATGAAGATAAAGAAGATAGGAGGAAGATAAAGGAAGATAAATGAGATAAGAGAAAGATAAAGAAAGATAAAGGAGATAGGAGGACGATAAAGTAGATAGGATGAAGATAAAGAAGATAGGAGGAAGATAAAGGAGACAGGAGGAAGATAAAGGAAGATAAAGGAGATAGAAGGAAGATAAAAGAGATAGGAGGACGATAAAGGAGATAGGAAGAAGATAAAGGAGATAGGAGGAAGATAAAGGAGATAGGAAGAAGATAAAGGAAGATAAAGGAGATAGGAGGAAGATAAAGGAGATAGGAAGAAGATAAAGGAGATAGGAGGAAGATAAAGGAAGATAAAGGAGATAGAAGGAAGATAAAGGAGATAGGAGGACGATAAAGGAAGATAAAGGAAATAGAAGGAAGATAAAGGAGATAGGAGGACGATAAAGGAGATAGGAAGAAGATAAAGGAAGATAAAGTAGATAGGATGAAGATAAAGAAGATAGGAGGAAGATAAAGGAGACAGGAGGAAGATAAAGGAAGATAAAGGAGATAGAAGGAAGATAAAGGAGATAGGAGGACGATAAAGGAGATAGGAAGAAGATAAAGGAGATAGGAGGAAGATAAAGGAGATAGGAAGAAGATAAAGGAGATAGGAGGAAGATAAAGGAAGATAAATGAGATAGGAAGAGGATTAAGGAGATAGCAGGACGATAAAGGAAGATAAAGGAGATAGGAGGACGATAGGAGGAAGAAAGATGAGATAGGAGGACGATAAAGGAGATAGGAGGAAGATGGAAGAAGATAAAGGAGATAGGAGAAAGATAAATGAAGATAAAGGAGACAGGAGGGAGATAAATGAAGATAAAGGAGACAGGAGGGAGATAAAAGAAGATAAAGGAGATAGGAGGAAGATAAAGGAGATAGGAGGAAGATATAGGAGATAGAAGGAAGATAAAGGAGATAGGATGAAGATAGAGGAGATAGAGGATGATAAAGGAGATAGGAGGAAGATAAAGGAGACAGGATGAAGATAGGAGGCAGAAAGAGGAGATAGGAGGAAGATAATGGAAGATGAAGGAGATAGGATGAAGACAGAGGAAGATAAAGGAGATAGGATGAAGATTGAGGAGATAGGAGGAAGATAAAGGAAGATAAATGAGATAGGAGGAAGGTATATGAAGGAGCATTGAAGATGTCGAGGGATAGATGGTCCATTCGCTCAGACCAAAGTCATTCACTTGTCACTAATTACATGCCCAGTTGTTTGTTTCATGGCTAGGTATATCAACCCGTGAACAGACAGGGTCATTTTTAAGGCAGGGTCTCCTAGTTGTGGCTGGAGTCTACTTCACTAAACAACATACAGAAAGCACGCCGCATTTCATCCAGAGCAATCGGAGTGAAGTGTCTGGTCCAAAATCAAAACCCTGACAACACAATAGTCCATTTCTCTGTTGTACTACTAAAACTGGAATACCCCGTTAAGTCTACCCATTGTTTAAACATATTTTATTGACAATGACATTGACAATAGGATTAGTCAGTAAGTTTTACCCATTACTCTACTTGATAATAAAAAAATCTTTGTAACGAGATTTAGAGATGGTTTCATCCATTCAGACCATATAGAACACATTATTATATTTATTTAATACCTAGACGTTGTTTCCGCTTGCTATGGAAGGGAGACAACTTAGGGCTTATATTACGTCCAACGACATATCTTTTATTTCCATCAGATGATGCTTTGTTAACCAATCAGTGACACTATTCTAATTATGGGGTATAATAATACACGTTCAACAGACGTTACTCACTGATTTTACCTTTTGAAACACATAAGAGACACTTCCTCATGAATTGTAACAAATTCCGTGTGTTGGATACTACCACATGGTATTACAAACTATGAATTTAAACAAAAAGAAAGACGACAATTTTCGTAGTTGATTAATGTATACAAGTTTTAATGATTCAACGCTTAACATATAAACATATATCCTTTTGATGGATATAAACAAACATGGAATGTATATATACAAGTGTGGTGCTCAGATCTTTTGCTACATTTGAATCTTCATTCATGCCAACAAACCAATCCATAATTAATATTTGGTATTTGTATGAAGCTTACATGGATGGATTTTATCAACTTGTGTCATAAAAGGGCGTTAATTACAGAATCAGAAAAGGCATTTGTTTTCCTATATTTCATAGCAAGCTTTCATTGAGATCATAATTACACTAAAATTTGCTTTATCTCAGCCATAGCCATGGTGTATGCAAAAATAGAATTGAAGCTAAAAGTTTACACGAAACAAATTATTCAGTCTGCCAATTTGTAGTGATATAATGAGATGATTTACGTGCACTAGCCAGCTATTTACTTCCTCATGCAATTACACATGTATTGCACACATTTACAGGAAAAGAAACGCATCATGTGTTAACACACATGAATTCTGAACACTACTTGAACAGTGCTGGATTTACATGATGTAGTTGCTATGTTTCTTGTACATTTGCGTACACTCTACCGCTTCCCCTCTCTTGCTGAAGGGTTTAATTCATAAATAATGTCACTTTTCTGTCCTTTGATCTTAAAACCCAGCATTTTCTAAGAAGACTGCATCAAAAGTCCTACCACATCTGAAAATGGAAAAATGACAAAATTAAAAAACACAAAAAACAAAACAGCTAGCTATTATAAAAATTAATTTGGAGACATCTAGTGATTTTGCTTTCAAACCCTGCCTATATGTTTTAAATTGGAATTCATCATAACATATCAGTAAATTATAATGTACCATCAAAGTTCCCATTCAGAAAGACCCATTATATTAGTGATATACACATATAGTAATGTCTGGAGAAATTTGGTTTCAGAAAAGATTTATTCTATAAATTCCACATTACTTCTAACTCTGAGAAACCGATATTACACTATACCTTCATAATTAAACTGCCCGTCGACTGTCAACTCAATTTCCCTGATAAGTTCATCCACTTCCTCATCCTTCAGGGGTTCCCCAAGGGTTGTGAGTACGTGACGTAGTTCTGATGCACTATTGTAGCCATTACCATCCTTGTCAAATATCCGGAAACAGTCACGAACCGATTCCGGAGTCTCGGTCAGTCCTGCATTTTTCTGTACAATTCTCTTGCATTCGTCCATATCAAATAATTTACCTCCCTTACCAGTAGCTGAAATCAAGAGACCATAATATTTGAAGATAACTTTTGAGTCCTATGATTTTTATTTCTTTTAAGAATGATATAAGACTTTCACATCAATATACTGATAAAAAATGAAGATAAACGCTGGGAATAAATTGACAAAAATGAATATTTCATTTTGGTACTACTGACAAAATTATAAGTTTAATTCTCAACTGCAAATCTTTCTTCAATGTGAAAAGATAAGATTATGAACTTGTATTTCATCAATGTCAATAAAGCCACAAAGACTGCATGCTACATTTATACTGAGAAAATATTGTTATTTTCAGGATTTTTTCAACACATTTGACATATGTTAGTGTACTGACGATGAGTTAATATGTCATGGCATAAGAAATGTATCATATATATATACACTGTACGTATTTGTAAATAAGAAAGTGAATATATATATGTTAAAAAAGATACATACATGGGTGAAAATGCAATGAAAATGATTAAAAATGACACATATTACATCACCTTGTTCAAAGAGATTATGAAAAGGAAATAAACAATTTGTATGGATTTTTTTACATTCACATTACAAAACCTACCACTGGCACCATACTCCTGTGCTATAGAGGCGATCTGTGCCTGCGTGGGACACAGTCCTATACTGCGCATGACGCTGCCTAATTCTATAATGTTTATCTTATGGTCATCATCTTTGTCCTGAATCAGAAAGGCCTCTCTCAACTCTGTAACATTTATCAAAACGTCAGTAGCATGTAGACAGGTTATATTTTCATGGGGCTCAATTTTCGTGATCAAAAAATCAACCAAAATAAATTCTCCACAATAATTAATGATTTCACAGTATGTTGAATGTGTAAGGTGCCCAGAAATTCTTCATCCAACAAAAAACACCAAACAAACAATCTAAACATCGAAATTCAAATTTCAACATCCCTTTTGAAAATGTTGCAAATCCATGTATTTGTATTTCACTGAAAAATAGAGTATAATATCTGACCATACATGGTTAAGATTTCCTTAATTATTTTCATTTGAATTAAGTCTATTATCCTATTAATTGAAAATATCATTTATGGCAAATATTCTTTCTTAAATTTTGTGGGAAAATAATCTAGTTTGTATCTTGCATCCTTACCGTTCATCATCTTGTCCATTCTTTGAGCCTTTAAAAAGAAAATTAAGTTTTATAGTAATTACAATTCATAACAAGATTTAAGAGTTACCTCCCTTCCATTACTTCACATCTTTGTACATCAACAATTTGTTTTTGACAAATTCATCACCGACATTTTCATATATATATACGTTTAGAAACTACAGGGCGTTTCGGATGAAACGTGTCTTACTTAACAATAGCTCATTTACAGAGATATCAAGCTATTTTTAGACATACCTGGTACATTCAATTAAGTAGGGTTGTCTAGATAGTCAACTGTTTTATAACAGAATATTGTATACATGAACACTGCATGCATTGTCAGCTGTACAGTATTGCTTTGTCAGCCTAATACACACAAAAACGAAATTTCAGAACTAGTTAATGCTAAATTATAGCACAGCTTTGTCAAAGTAGCCTGCCTTCCGGATCGCAAGTCAGTATCTGTCATTATTTATTTACAACATCAAGATTGATTTTTTTACAACTAAGCTTCCCGTAGCAGGCTGCTACAATGTCCTGTCGACATCTGTTTTTACACAAAATAACGAATACTGGCTAAATCACACGAAACATCAGTATATGACCTAATTCTGATCAGGACGAAAACATGACGGGAGTAAATTAGTAATTAGTCGGGCCGTGGCTATATTTTGTCGATACACATTAGAAAAGTAAATTTAGCTGCAATATATGTACAACCACAAAACCTGGCAACGTTATGACTTGGTATTGATCGTTCTATATGGGGCGTCCAGTATTTAAACACAAGAACATATCAAGGCGAGAAAAGATAGGACGGTCCAGGTAAACATGTATGCGTCAACCGGTTTGTGTTGCTCACCTGTATATCCGACCACACCTATACCTGTAATTACCTGTGTAGAGACTATTTTAGTACTTTCACCTCGAAATACTATAGGTAAAACACAATATATATAACCATATTCAATCCAATTTGTATTAAGAAACGAATCTTACCATGTCTGGTGAGTGTTGGTTTGAATGTGGAGAGCAACTGTATTCTAGTTCCGTCAGGTGTGTGTTGCACAGACTACCGCGCCAGTAGTGTGATTTAACCGGTGTAGGGGGAAACACCGTCCCAAGAACGCTTGACTAGGCGGGCGGTATTTTGAGGTCACCACAGTATCCAGCTGGTGTGCTGTGATATTCCTTGGGGCTTTTTGTTAACATATAATCAGTAGGACGACATTTAGAAAGATAAAAAGAAAATGAACTGTATGACTTGTCGCTAGAATTACAACATTTCATTTACGACAGTGAAGAGAGTGACGGGGAAAACTACCGGTGTGAATACCTGTTATACCCGTACAGAAAAGCACACAGAAGATGAAATTAGTGAGATCAATCATTTTTGTATGATAAAAAAGTTTTGAAATATTGGGAATTCGAAAAGTACAAGAAATATACTATGTGACACACCTAATCTCAATATAAACAAGATGCAATCACAATTTGTTAATTATCGGAACTCGTTAAATTCGTTATTGTCTGATTTTTAAAAATTTTATTTGTAATTTAGTGTCCAAATTTATGTCAATCGTTAACCTGGTTAGTAGTTTGGATAAGTCATGTTGATATGGAGACCTATTGCTACCCATGATGCATCATTCAAAATGACTACAGGACTCTCCCCCCCCCCCCCTCCCCCCCCTTTTTCTTTCTCTCGTCCTCCCTCTCCGCTTAATCCCATCCCTGGATGTTAAACACAGAATGTCAGGTACACTGTATACAGTAATAGGATTGAAAATATCAAAAATAGACTTTTAAAGTGCACGTATTCGTTTTCGGAATTTAGGCCATACATGAAGTAATAATATAATTTAAATATCATGCACGTATTTCAGAAAATACTAACAAGACTTGAATTACTTTTCATAGAAATTCTGAAACCTATTGAAACCTTAATTTAAACCAAAAAAAAGTTTCAGGTTGCTTTTAAAACACCAGATTGAAAATGTTATTATCCTTTTATATGCTTGCTTGATCCATTTATCAAAATTATTACAATTAAAATCGATCGAAATTATCACAATTAAACATTCCAAAACCTTTATGATTTCAAGGAACAAGAATTGTGTGCTTTTTTGTTTTGCCAAAAATACATATGTAAAACGAAGCCCTTTCACGTAACTATGCCTGAATGCTGACCAAGATGCAGTAAGCTCACGTGTTACCTATAAGTAACTTCACCAGATAAAGTTGATGGTCTGTGCCATTGACCTCTGTCATTTGACTACAATAGGTCTTTCTGATAACCTGTTATGTTTTTGGCATGTGAATACACGTGTCCGCCACAATGGACTACTTGTACAGCACACGGAGTATCGTATCAGATAAAACAGCATCACTTCAGAATGATAGCCCAATACTGTATTTTCTGAAGCAAGGCCGATGTATACCGTGCTTTAGGGACTGTTATCAGTGACCACCTATCGTCAAACACTACCTGTGACAATGTGTAATTTATTACAAGTTTGAATTTAAAATTAGACATTGTCAAAATAGAATGAAAGCATCGCCTTGCTTGAAAATTTAAATGTGTATTTGATAAAAATGAACAAAGGAAAAATGATAATGATGATACTAATTCGGGCTAACCTGTTTTAAAGGCCACATTTGTACAAAGGTCACCTGTCTGTAACGGCCACTTTTGTTATTCCCTACGTAGTGCAATTTGTGTTAATTGAACCTCTATGTAAAGGCAATTTGTGTATAAAAGCCACTTTACTATGATCCCATGAGCGGCCTTTATAGACAGGTTTAACGGTATTAAAAGCATATGACAATAAAATTTAATCATACTTAAATTGATATTTTCCACATATTTTACTGTTTGTGAATGAGCCACACAATTTTTACGCTTTACATGTACATTGCCTATGGTGTAGATTGTAGAAAACAAATGATACTTTATCAACGAAATGTACACAACGTATATTGTGATATCTGATACAGAAATAAAGTATACATACAGATGATAATAAACAGCGTCTTCAGAAACGATAGACGTAATTCACAAGTGTGGCTAGTATTTTCGTATCTCTCGCGCGTGTGCAGCACGAGTGAAGATTTATCCAATTAGTAGTCACAGAAAATATCACCAAACACTGCAGCCAATACTATACTACACTGCTTATCCTTCATAAACTTTGACATCACCAAAACCATTCTAGTACCTATTTGTTCAGAAATATTTCATTTTCAAATCATTATCAACCATCAGGTTCATGCCTCACTCTCCTGATAGCCTGATATCAAATATGAATATATATCCGAACACGTGATGATTTGGCTAAATGTGTCCAGTCCTGTTATCCATTGTTTCAGGAAGTAATGTGTATTTTTTGTGACGTTTAGTTAAGTGACCCTGTATGAATCCGACATTTTCAGAAGCATTTAGCTTTGAGCAGTAAATCATAGTCAGTTGTGGTGAGCACACATTTTAAGGAATTCAGAATAGCTTAATACAGCCAGGTTTTACACTACGCTGTTTGGTGCCACATAAAATATAAACAAATAATATGTACGATTTCACCCTCCGTAGAATTCATCTCGGAATTTGACTTGCTTTTCACGAACAACGCTTCTGTTCTGAAGCATATTTCATAATATATATACATGTAAGTCGAAATCACAGAAGAAATATACGAACGACGAAATGATGATTTTAAAATCGAGTTTCTGGTTGACAACATTTTCTTCTAGGACTCAGCAGTGATGCTGCAGCACACAGCTGTTTAGTCTTTCTAGGACTTGTCAGGTGTATGATGCAATTTAAGTTCATTGCTTAACTCTTCTGTATCTTATCTAAATACTATTAAGTGGCGCTTTTTACTTGTGTGTCTTTGTACGGTCTTGTTTGGCATGCAGTTAGATGATGTATTCAATGCTATCAACTTGGTTGTCCTTTTTAGGACTTGGCATTCTTTGCATTGACCTTCATATACACAGCGGATGTCATAGATAAAGCAGAAGACGCACAGGATCCAGGGACATCTGGTCTGATTCTCCTTTAAGGTTCTCATGGTCGTTCTGTGTATACATATGTATTGTCGTTCATGGTTCACTCCTGTGTCATCGATTTTTAGTTTGAATAATAACTTTGCCTTCAGTGACTTGTGTTTTGATTTTATCTCGATTTTTGAACTGCTAATTCCTGATTCTGGGAGTTAAAGTTTTCTGTAGTTTTGTAAGACGTAATGCTATTGAAATAAATAAATAAAATAGATAAATAGTTAATGAATACATTGATAAAGCTGTAGCTTTGCTTTTGTCATAGCTGTTTATAAGCTATCCTTTGCTGAGCTGTGTTTTACATGAAAAGCAGAAGGTTTATAAGAAGACAGGATGCGAGTAAGTACTTTACATTGTCTTCAATGAATACAAGAAATAGCTGGAGCACCTGCCGTCAAGTACCAGTCGCTGTCTATTGTATGGGACGGTACATAGACGGAGCGAGCGGCAGTTATCATGATGGACGTTACGGGGCGAAACTAAAGGATACGAGACTTAAACACTTCACCAGACAGCCTTTCTCATCATCTGAGAGGCTCCAGTAAAACAGTAATTGTTCCGGAGGTGGCAGAGTTAAGATTGTTGCCATTTTTCATAAACAAGATAGGAAGAAAAAACAACTATAGTGGAAAAAGGGGCCACAAACATCGGCCTCTCCCAGATTCATCGCTGTATTTGATTCAGTACATCTTGTCGTTAATGTGACAAGAAATACAACCCATGAGAAGAACTAAACAGTAGATTTTAGTGTTGCCTCGTTACCATGAAACATACATTTCATAATCCACGGGTTGTTTTATACTCTATATAAAAACAAAATTATCGTTTGTTCTAAAATTTGGGGGATATATCATATATACATAGCAATTTGTTTTAATGCAAATATAACCGTTTGAGATTTATTTTTATGATAAATAATTTTATGAATCTTTGTCAACATGGAGGATCAAGAGTTGTACCTGTACGTGCCAAATAATTATTTTGGTAAAGCAGCACAACAACTGATGACGTTGTGCGCATGTTTGTTATAGGAAAAAGAAGAATGACGTTATTAGAAATGTATTGTACAATCTTCATTACACAGAGAGAGAGACCAGCTGCATCTTTGAAGGACATTCCTGATTCCTCTTTCGGAATTATGATTTCTCATATTGCCTATCAGGTATGAGATTTTTTCTTCTTACGAAAGCATTTTACCTCAGAAAGGTATGAGATATTTCATGTTTGAAGGTCATAACAAGGTCAATGACGAGGTAAGACCAAAGTCATACAGGTTATATTCAGTAAATATTATGTGGATATGAATCCGATGGTCAACAGCCGTTGGGGCTACTGAAGAAAATTTCTAAACTCAAATACTTACCATAACCTTTAGTAGGCTGTAAGATATCTCAATATGCCATATTACATTTATATCTGTAATTGAAAATTGATGGTGGAATATCAACCATGACCAATTTAGTAACGTTTAAGATTCAAGTCCATCAAAGCAAGAAACCAATTATCTGTATCGCTTGTCGAACTAACAGAATGAATGCCAAAACGTAGGTATTAGCAGGGACAGTAATTAAAACGAAAGAGCCATGGAAATATTCATGTGTAAATTTCTGTAAGATATATGCATAATTCTAAAATAACTGGTCCTTTAAGATGAGCAGGTCAAGGTTAATATAAATTACTGTTCAACGTGCCTGATACAAAAGGGGTCAAGGCCAAATCTATTTTCGGAACCAGTTTTAACAGAAGTCGGCATATGTTTGCCTTCTGAATCCCATCATAACCCACAGGATATACACATTTGTTAAGTATTTCAGTAAATACGTTGTCTAATATATACTAAAATATCTCCATATGTACGGCATGTAGCGTAAACATCACAGTAACTATTATATAAGAGGCTTCAGAAAAAAGCCTTTCGGTTCGTGTACATACCTATATGTCTGTCTATAAGTTACACATGCGGAGCTAGTAACGTGATATCCCTATGATGGGCAGAACACGACCAACAGATTGACGGAGAGAGCCGCATTCACGGTTGACAAACCTGTAGCTCTGTCATTGCTGGTATTGTGTGTTGGAGGAAGATTGGTATGCGGATGCAGCCTAGATACTGTGATAGATGATTGCATGTCGTGATTCAATTTAAAAAGAAGTAAGTGACGGAGGTAAATTCTGTTGTACGGAATGCTACATGTGACGCGTCATCGGGAATTTCTCAGGCCAACTTACGCCCAGTGTTTAGAGGAGTAGGCATACGTTCTAAAAATTCCTGGCAGGGTGCTAAGTAAGAGACGGCTGCCACGAACCTTTCCTCCTGTCACATTCCAGCTTCGCTCATACTGTTTGGCCGTCAATATGGTAAGTCTGCCCACCGGTCCACGGCGTTGTTAGTGACACCCCACCCTCTGTGTCGTCATGTTACGGATGGGACGCCATCTTGTAAACCCTCTTGTTTTGTCTGTCTCCCTCTACCTGTTGTTTAGAAACAATTGTTTTTTCTACCGATACGTGTACATCCAACATGTAGACCTTCATCAATTACCATTCCTTTCCTTCTGTGTGTCTGGTCAGAATACTTCCCTGCACGTGTGCATGTCGGGCTTATAAACCAGTGAGGCTGGCCAGACCGTGCATACGTCATATGTCTGCACTTGCATGTGTCTGTTGTAGTTTTTTTAATTGTTTTGTATACTGACGACGTTATTTTTATCGTCCTAGTGACGTTTGCTGACGTCATCAAAATATGTGATGTGCATTTTCGTATATAAGTGAATTTCATGCCATATGTTAGATATAGATATATATTTGTAAGACAGGAATACTTCAGATGTTATTTTCTAGAACTCGTTGTGTTCGTGGTAATACAGTAAGCTGTGTATATCCATACATATGCCTAAATACCTTTTTGTTACACATTAATGTATACACACGTGGCCGGGTATGCTATGCATCAAAAGAAGGATTTGGGTTAACGTAAACTCTGTTCCTTGCTTATAAATCATTATCACAATTTTTATACATAGACGTTTACTTTTTTATAAATGTGAATATTTATCTGTGGTGTTTGTGAGGCGCCAAAGAAACGGTAGATGCAGTATGTCACAAATCTTAATCACACCAGTGATTCAAGACTTCACGATCTAGCAAGCCTCTTAATTCCGAAAATGAAAATGATGACATGAGCTTGTTACAGTATAAAACCTGCGTTCATCGAGATATGAACGCAACTAAAATCTGATTGAGTGATAATGATATCCTGCAAAACAGATGCTTTATATACAACGATGACCTTGTATAAAAACACTGAATGTCAGTTATGTTAGAACATTCTATATGTTATCTTTATCTAATATACATTCTTTTATTGGTAACAGTTATGGTAGAACATCATACGAAAAAAATAGCCTTGATACAGTGACTAACAAACATGTTACTACAAGTCTGTCAACAGTGGAATTCCGCTCATTATTACCATGGCAATGAGAAGGTGTACCACAGAGTACTGCATGCACATGTGTGCGGGTGAACAACGTGTGCGTTTGTACCACTGCGGACCCTTAATGAGCACACGTACATGTATTTTTACAATCCATAGTAATTTACTAGCACGTTAGAAGGGGCTTCATTTAGCCTCGTGTCTGTTGCTAATTTTCTCATTAGTACCAAGCTAATGTGGAACGTAACGACAAGTCGAGGATATATTTGAAAGCAACGATTAATGTTTCACAGTTGAAGATTGATTGTCTATTAATAGTTTGCATTTTCCCCTATCTGTACGAAACCTAAACTTTCTATATACTGTGGATCCAAAATTGCATCAGGGCATAAGCGTATAAGTGACGTCATAGTTAAGAAAGCTTACAATGAGAGATTTTTACTTAAGGCTGAGAGGGAGGGATGTTTGAGCTATTTAGGGTTTGATTCGGGTGATATAAAGAACAGAATGTAATGAAGACGAAATCTGCAACAACGACACCAAACATGACTGAGATAATAAGGCAAAATTATACAGCATTCTGCTATGTCCAGCCACTCCGTTAATACGTAAACCATGACGTCATACGTGGATATGACGATAAATATTGCTGTGTCATGCATGGAAACGCATGCAGGTTTAACAAGCATTTTTTTAAAAATATATCTAACGATACCGTCCTTATTTCTAAAATGAGAATATCTGTAGTTTGACGACCATTTCATACACAGAAATCACAATGAAGTCATTTTAAAAATCTGTCACGGTAGACTTAACGACTATTGCAGGGTGTTTTACCAACCAAACAAGATCTGATCTAAAGACTTAAACTATCACTACAGGTAAACTTCTGTTACTACATGATTGCGTTTAAAGCTATACTGTCGACGCGCTGTTGAGGACAATGAATCAACTTCTCTAAAAGCCGTGATGTAGATTTCTTCTCTCTGTAAACCTAACTCCTTTCATCTTTGCATTTCTACTTATCTATGTTAACCCAAGTTTAGTCTCATATTTCATTGACCATTGTCATCATCAATATCTTATCTTTGACCTTAACAATATTTTCAATCACTTTTTCTTTCTGAGCCATAAGTTAGCGCATATTCCGTTCTATTTCACTGGCTGCTTTCCGTCCTCCTTCTCATTCGAAAATTTGTACCTTTAATTCTATATTTATCTCTTTTTCGTCTCTCTGTCTATAAACAAAAATATTTTAACCAGTTATTAATTGGGTTTCATTATTTATTTTTTCATTAAATTCCTTTTTGTCTCTGAAAAACACGACGAATTCTAATCCGTTTTCCCTTTGTAACATACAATTGACGTGCGTCAAATCTGTATTCACACCGTCAGCTTTCCATGAACATTGTGACGGGATGGGGATATTGGCCTTCAACTGATATGCTAAGAGTCTTTTGCCTGCATTGAGTGCAATAAGTTTCATAAACAACTACCACAAGGTAAATTGCAGACGATAATAGGATCTTATCAATCGAAGGATTTCTCTTCATTTTCTCTCTCTCTTCAGACGCACCATCATCAACAACTGATCTCTTGGTCAATTATGTATACATAAAAATTGAAAATTGGCTTTCAAAGACCATTTCAGGCCGCGAATGTTCCCAATCACTATTCTATTAACACGTATTGATTTATTAGCCCTTTGAATACAGGAACGGTCCATGCTTACTGCCCAGAAACAAGCGTCACACTAACTTACAGACACAGAAAAGAAATTTACATGCACGGTCATGTTTTAGAATAAGCTTTGCATTGCTGTCCGGAAATGATTCAGTTTACAGAAGGGTATGGGATTTGTTTTAGCGAAGTTATATGACTACGCTATACAAAATTCAACATTTAACAGTGATGGATGCCCACGTTTTCTACAAATAAATATCCCTAACGACCGTTTGATGAAGATTGTTGATCACGTGTGCAAGCGCATATGGCTGAATTATTAAGTGACGTAATTCCTTATATAGAATAGCCTCGACGTCAGGTCGAAAGAGTTCAGGTTTATTGAGGCTGTTTTTTTGGTAGGGTTTACAAAGTTAATGGAAACAATACAAAGATTCATCTCGAAGATTGGAAATTCATTGTCTATCATGGCAGACATTCAGCGTTAAATATCTTGAAAACTTCATATATAATTCTAAACTTTGTCCAGGTAAATAAGACACCGATCTGGAAACACTGCGGATGTGTTCAAAACACGTGATATTGCGTGTGTGACGGAAGCTCGTGTTTTATCTCTTTTTTCCTGACTTCTGAGGAAGTAAAAGTTCCCCTTTGATAGTGTGATTAACACTAGTTCTATCATTATTTCGGCACCACACCAAAAAGCTCTTTTATTGAATAGACAGCAAGCGAGTATTTTGGTATACATAGGAATAATAGGATTATACCATCGGTGGGAAACAATAGCTGATGTCTGTGTAGAATATTATTTCATTTCCGGCGGAGTTTTCCTGATACTTATTGTACTCTCAAAGATGATGGATGGTGGAAGTTCCAAGTTTTGGTATGGTATAGTGGTGTTTTAACCAGGTGAATGTGTGATTCGTAAGAAGATGAAAACCGGAATTCTAAAAAAATGGAAATAGGAATTGAAAAATGGAAATATGCATTTTGAAATACAACAGTCTTAACAGCGCATGTAAGACGGAGAACGAAAAGGAAAGAAAGATAAAAAGATTTGCTACAAACGGGATACGGCATGATTAGGCTGAAGTTAGCGTGTGATGTCATCAGAGATGCTTTTCTGAAACAATTATTCCTTTTTAAAGCTTAAACCGGACATGGAATACTTGTCATACGCGTGGATGACAAAAAGGACTCAAAGCATGCAACACAACAAAAATGACGTCATCAATCTGTGATGTTTTGTCAGCAAAAATGAAGAAACCATTTAAATAGTTTTGTGCCAAATTATAGAACAGAAATACTACAATATTTTTCTTCAGGTTAATTTTGCATCATGGAATTTGAAATCTACGTGTGTCGCCAAAATATGCATAACTCGATCTTTTGGTCATATTCTACAATGGAAATTAAAGTTTGCTGAAATGGGATCCCAATTATCGACAACAATTAAGGTTTGGGATATCTCATATTATTCCTGTTTTTAGTACGCATGGTACCAATACACCAACATAGGTTATTGAACAAGGGCTTTGTACATGTATTAGGAATTGTAAACTTGTTTTAATGGTTAATATGTGATGTCAATTGTTTTATTATGTTTTTTTTTTTTTTTTTTTTGTTTTTTGCTTATTTTTTAGATTATTTCTTAAGCTTTGTGGTATTTTCATGGAGTATATTGCAAGTATTGTTTTATTTATTCCGGTATTGTTCAGGAGATGTAATGTGCTCGGTTTTATGAAAGGCGTATATAATATAAGGTAAAAAAAAACCCTCTTGAGCTTACCTTTGGTCACACATACAACTGTTCGTACAACGTTGGGTGCACCTGTATGTAGCATGATATATCTAAGGATTTCAGAACGTCGCGACCTGCACCACATTTTATACACCATATTAGATATACGCTAACTTCAAGTCGTAATGATGAATTTTTCGTTATGTGTATCTGTCTGATTCGTCGATTTTGTTTTTCATTTCCCGATAAAAAAGAATCTAGCTCCGCCCACTTGATAATGATTGGAGGAGTCAATGGCAACACACCACCTACACGCCACGTGTTTCCATTCAGTTTGCAGCTAGGTTTTTCTTTCCTTTGAACGTTTAAGTGTATGTAACTTTTACGTCAGAACTGTGACGTAGAAACACAAAGTTCATAGGTCAGGGAGTAAATATTTCTTGTAATATATAACATTTATTCTATGATTTCTTTGTGGGGATGAGTTAAGATTTATCA